TAGTTCTTAAATTACTGAAGATGTCGCCGCGGTAAACAATAACGAGCAGGGTTCTGGCTCAATAATAATAATAATTAATAATAATAACAATAAAAAAATACGGTAGGGGAGATAATTATATTACACGAAGCGTAATGACAGGAGGAGAGTCAATATGACTACACGGAAAGAAACGGCTCCGGAGAGAGCAGCGCCGAGGGGAGCCTCCAGCGGAGCACCCGTTCCTGCCAGCTGGGCTCCGCTCCCCTCCCTGGCAGCTTGAAATGAGGCAAGAGGGTGTTTACCCAGCACCAAGCCACCACCCAGCTCTTCCCAAGCTCCCACCAACCACTCGGGACGGCTTTTCCACGAACCAAGAGGCACCGGGCTCTCTTAACGTGACACGTGGCTCTAGAAGCTGTTGCTCACCCCGGAAGACTCGGGCTACAAACTTCTCTTCGAGGTCTGAGATGTGCCTTTCAGGAAGTAAGATTGTTATTCGGGCTCCAAAAGTTAAAATAAATAAAACGGCGCAACTTACAGCTTGAACCCATCGCGCGTTAATGGAGAGGACCCCGGAGTGGCTGGCGCGACCCTCACAAGCGCATTTCGCCTAGATGGCATCGCGTTATAAATGAGTCAAACAAAAGGCAGAATGGGAAGAGGAGAAAAAAAAAAAGAAGCCATAAATAGAAAGAGAAAGCAAGTGGGACAGGGAAGGTGAGGCCGGGGCTCTGGGCAGAGGCAGCGCACACTGGAAGGAAGAGATCTCGTCAGAGGGAAACTGCAGCTGCAGAAAGTGCTCCTCAATCCTCAGGAGTTAAGGACAAGCTCCGTCAAGGATTCACGGCCCTGCTTTTCCCTTTTCACCTCTCTGGTCTGGCAGAGAGTTAGTGCTTTAGGATGCAATGGCAGGGGTTTTGTGTGTTGTGTGGCTTTTGTTTTGTTTTTTTTCTTTTTGAAATTTCCCTTACAAATAGAAGTGAACGGAAAGCAACGTCCATCCGAAGAAACCAATAGAGTATTTCAAGATTTGCCCTGTGCCCACCCTGTGTTTTGAGTAAAAACCCCCCAACAACCCCCCCCGACCAACCAAAACGGGTCTTTCTTTGTTGTTCATTTGTTTGTTTTTAAGTCTTAAGAGACTTCGAATGATTGTTCTGCGAGGGACCCTCCATGCCACACGTCTGAATGTGTTCACAAAGAGCCGAGTCACTTTTGCACTCATTGCATTTGGGGTTCTCTTCTCCCACTGTAGTGTTCATCTCGCCATTATACCCCTCGTGTCCGTTCTCATTTGTCCCCCGTCGCAGCTTCGGCCTTTCATCTTCCTCCTCCTCCTCCTCCTCCTCTTCCTCGTCCTCCTCGTCTTTTACTTTATGAACGATGAAGAGGTGTCTGTTCAGTGAGATGGACGAGGTGTAGCACAAGCCGCAGAACGAGCACTGGTAGGTGGAGCTGTCTGTCTTGTGCCGAGGTATGTGCTCCTGAAACTCGCTGCTGATGTCCGTCGCAAAGCTGCATTTCGCGCATTTCCAGTGCGCTTTCAGTTTTTTGGCCGGCGGCGCGTCTGGACACGTGGTGGTCTCCACCCAACCCAGCTCATCCGTTGCCATCCTCTTTGGAGATTTTGCCTTCAAGAAAAGAAAAAAAGAAAAACACAAAAAACCCCTGTAAGATTAAAAAGTCACTTTGTTGCTTGAGCCTGCGGAAACAGTAAGCGCTAAATTCCACGCGCACATCTGAACGCACCCAAGGGTGAACACGCATAGGTATTTTGATACAAACTAAACAAAGATATTCCTAAAAGTTCTTGATGTCAGCTGCCCTGTGGCCTGAGATGGGAGCCCTGCAAGGGGCTGGCTGGGCAGAAATGCGATGGAGGAAGCCAAATGCAGACCATACGTCTGTAAATGTACATCTTGTTTTTCAAGTCAAGGGAGCAAAGAAGCCCGATCTACTCCCAATTAACCCGAAATAAAATCCGTCTGATGGTTACATTTGCTGAAAAAAATTACGCAGCCCCACTCAGGAGGAATACCATTCTTGTAGGTCATGGCTCTAATAAGTATTTTAAAAGAGAAATCATTTGGAACTAGCAGAAAAAAACGATGAAAAGGAGGGGAAGGACATCTGCCACATGGAGGAGAGGGCTCAGCTTAACACGCTGAATGAACAGCTACTCGCCAGGTAAATTTATTTTTTTCAATGGAAAAATGCAACAGTTACTTCTGCCGTGTCTCTCTCTGGAGCTTTCGCTTTGGCCATCTGGGATAAGTCAGGGTTTTTGATGCCGTGCATGAGGCTGATGTGATTCTCCAGCATGAAGGGCTGAGGAAATGTCTGATATTCATCCGTGCAGTACCTTGGAAACACAAAAAGGAAGAAAAGTTATTAGAGGAAACATCCAGCTCTTCATTTCTGTACAAATAAGCGCAAAACCAATCGGTGTCATTGGCAACCAGGTGCCAGTGAGCAACATACTATTAGATTACAAAAATACGCAAGCTTGAAATTCTTACAAAACTGAATTTCCAGCTTGACTAACAACAACGTAGGCAGAAGCATCCATGAACGCGTCATCTGGATGTAACTGTTAGTGTTTAAAACTCATCAGGGTTCAAGAGCTGCCTGAGAGCGCGGTCGACGTGTCCAAAGGAGGCTGAGCAACGAGGCAAGTAAGACTGGACCTTTCCGAAACATGTGAATTGCAGGCAAAATCTAGGTGGCAGGGGACAAAAAGCAACCGAGGCGAGGTGAAGTGTGAATTATCAAACAAAATACACGAGACGTCAGAATATTTTGCAGCTTGTCCTAGAATTCTTCTCATACGAGCAGGGGAAAGGCGCTTCCCTAACCTGAATTATTCCAGTGACAGGCTTGGCAAGGAGGGTGTTCGAGTAAGTCCTCCATCACCAGTTTCTCCCTACGAATTTAACAGGAGGGGCCAGGGGAGAAGGCGAAATCACAGCCTGAAATGTCACCTACAGGAGTGTTCCAGAGTCACAAAAATGACTCAGCTGTCAGAGCAATGACAAATCTTCCCCTGGAAATCCAGGAGAAGAGGGTGACGTGGAGTTCAGGTGTTAAATCCCCCCAAGGAGGTAACATGTAAGACAGCTACAAACTGCACAGGAGGAATTCAAAGAGATTCGTAAGCTACGGTCATGGAGGCAATTTTTAAAGCAAATAAAGAGGGATCAAAGGGGAGGCTGAACAGAAGATTTTGGATCCAAACAGAGAGCGACTGCTGGAGATGCCGCAATAAGTATTTAAAGGAAGAGGTTTCATTTGGAGAGTGCTGGGATTTCAGGAAATCTCCCGCCACCATGACTAAAGAGTGTGACCACTGTCCAGTTAAGATACTGAGATTTTGAGGGAGGAGCAGCTACGGCTTGCAAATTAAGCACAAGTCACTTGACTTCCTAGCTGCGTCTTCTTGGCAGGGCATGACCAGGGACCCTTGGGTGAAGCTGTGAATCCACCACAGCATGTTGGACTGTAAAATAATAAGAAAAATGGATTCCAGGGCCTGTACAAGCTCATGCATACAGCAGGCTGGCATGGCTTGGGTTTTTTGGTATTTCTATACAAATGGGTAGGCCTGATGTCTGTGTTGCTTCTGATACGCTCCACTGTGGAAACAGATTTATACAAGTCAGGTGCGTGTAACTGAAGCCCATCACCCATGAAGTTAAAGCAGAAAGAAACGCACTGGGAGCCACCACTTCATCTTCTCCACAGCTTCCAAGTCAGAGCAGTTACAAGAAACATAAAGTTTAAAAGTCCTGGCTGAAAAATAGATCAGGAATGTATTCCTATCAGGCCCCCATGGTGATGCCAGTGCTTTATCCAAAAGGTGTCATGGCTCGCTAGGCAGAAATAAAGTACTTGAGAGGATGTGCTCTTCAAGACAGGCTAGATCTAATGCCCGTTAGGATTTTACAGACCTTTCGTATCATTTACCTGCAGGGCAGGCGTAAGAGCGACCGCCCCATGTTTTACCGGCTGTTCCACGAGGCTGCGCAACATAATTCTCATTTTGGACCCCACACAAACCTTACCCTAAGTTTCCAAAGAGCACTGTGCGGTCAAAAGCAAGATTTACTTTGGCCACTGAGTCTCTCGCATTTAACATATCCTTCTTCTCACTCTCCCTAAGTAACTTACAGCCTGGAGTAGCCAGGAGCAGACACAACGGGCTTCCAGCCTGTCGGTGAAAACAAATTGCAAAAGCGGCATTTGGTACATACCAGCAAGTATAAACTTTCTTTGCTGTGTCGTGATTATTGCGGATGTGTCTGCGCAGGCTGTTGGAGGCGTTAAAGGAGCGCTCACACTGTCGACAGGGATATCTCTTCATTGACTATCAGACGAAGAGAAATAGCTTTTAATAACAGGGAGGTGGAAGGCACTGACTGGATTCTAACATTCCCCATGCTCTTCAGCAGGGCCTTACCTCTCAGGTGCCAAAATAATCTCTCTTCCACTGATAAAGACTGCTGAGATTTTGCAGTCCCGCTTATATTCAGACCAACTGTTGGCTAATACCAGCACTCACAAACCCCAGGATTAGTTAAAGCACATGCTTGATTACTTTATTTTTTTTACTAGGAATTGTGTTTGCTGCTTCTCCTATGGGCTCATTTCACTACAGGACCTTCTGCAGAAATAATTCAGGGGAAGGCCCCTCCCACCCCAGGAGAAGGCAGGAGCCCAGCGTGAAGCATAAGCCCACTCATCCTTCTCTCTTCTCATAAGGTGGCCCAATAAAAGGGCAAGATGTTAAAAAAGCATCACCTAGTCCTGCTTGTTATCCACATGTGAAGCTCTAAGAAGTCTGGCCGCGTGCAACACCTTGGCCTGCGTCCTGCCAGTGAGCAAGGATCCGCTTGACAGAAGTAGGTCAAGGCAACGCAAGGCTGGATGGAACCAACACAACTGAGATTTACAGTTCTTCTAATGATAACTCAGCGTGCTCACTCTTCCCCAGTTAGACGTAGCAGTACTTATCTCTCAATTTGCTACGCAGAGGAACTGCATGTCCTTCTGTAACTTTTAGGGCAGGTAGTTTAAATTGGGCTGCCCAAGCAGCAACTGGGGAAGACACTTCCCCTAAAACTTACCCTCCCTCCGAAGAGGAAGCCTGACGTTAGATGCAGTGGGAGAAGGAACACCAAAGAGGACGAGGCTCACAGGCTGTACTTACAACAGGCTACATCTATTTTTATTCTTGCTGTTCTGGCCTGGTGCCTACTCCACAGCGAGCCGGCAGACAGATTCTCACTTTCTTTTTACCCCAGACAGTAATGATGAGCAGACACTTACGCTAAAAATGTCTTATTACCTAGCTGAAGCGTTTCATCTGAGGCCTTACCCTTCCGTGATTTCTCTTCATGTGGGACACAAAGGTTTCCCGATCGGGGATCCACTGCGAACATTCCTTGCAAGTCCAACCACTTCTTCTCAGTCTGGACTTGGATTCCGGGTTGTGTCTTTCCACCCTCATGTCCTTCCTCGACAGAGAGGAGTGGGAAGTCCCGTTGGATACCGACAGCTCCTTCGGTGCAGCATGAACTTGGTTCCTCGACGCCTTCTCAGACTTCTGTCGGAAATTTGAGTGCTCCTCGGGGTTTTGGGGGATTCCATGCACACCCTGCGTAACAGTAACAACAGAACGACGCATAACATGTATACATCATTCATGTTACATGCCTTTACTTATAAATAAATAACATTTATTATTTATTATGCCCCCAAAACAGTAGGTTGATGTCTTACTGCCGCACTTCTTCACATTTCCCCTTGAAGCTGGCTGCAGCGCTCTCCCCAGCAGGAGCGCAGCTCCTCAGTGCTGCCTGTTCAAACGTTTTGGATGAGCTCTTACGAGCTCTGGTTAAATGGGGACGACGTAATGGGAGAGAAATGTTAACTGTCTCTATTTCAAGAGCCTGAGTTCTACGACCACAGAGCTTTGGTAAGCTCTGAATGAAATGTTTGCTGTTATCTCATGGGCTCCAGAGCCGCTTCATGGTTCCTCAGGGGACAGGAAGAGACAACCTCTCAGTTTCTCCAACCCCACTTTCTTTAACTCCACACCGTTCGTTGCTCTTTTGCATTTTTGGGGTTCAAAATTTCACTCTGGACAAACAAAAGCGAGCGCAATGCCAGAAACCACCCATATAGGGAACAGATCTTCAGGCTGGCTGAAATCCAAAGTCCCCCTCCAAGTTATTGTAACAAAGAAAAATTGAACACAAGGAAAATAATCCAGAAACGAGGAGCTGTGGGAAAGCAAATGCGAGTAGAAGAGCAGCATACCAAAGAAACCTCAAGAAACGCCCCCTAGGAACAACAACAGTTCACCCGCACAAAAGGATGATTTAGAGGTTTAATTGCACACAGTAATTAATAACGAGTAAAGTTTCAACACACAAAGGGCCCTGGGGCCTTTGGAAGGCTTTCTGTGGGTTAAGACACCAAAGAAACTTCAAAACACAAGGTCTCATCCGGGAAGCCTCTGCACTTCTTGCACCTGATGCCTGCAGAAATCTCAAGATTAGGAAATCTTGAGCGCATTTTCTGCGCAAGGAGCACTGTAGTACCAGTTAATCTATTTCTCCTGTCATTACATCACTTGGGAAGAAAAAAACAAAACAAATCAAGGAGCACAGGAAAATGAACCGACTTCTCCGCAGAATCAGTAACAGAAACCAGACCTTTGACCTCCTCAGGCTTTGACAATGGACAATCCAGGAAAGACAATTATTGTGCACATAGGCAGCACCTCCTAAAAACCCTACGTTGCATAAAGGAGTGGGATCTGACAGGATAGGAGGACGGGTTGGGGCAATTGCTACCCTGCCCCAGCCAAAATGCTCCAAGACCTGGCAATGGCCAAGCACAGGTTCAAAGACAGAAGTCTTGTAGCAGACATGGACCTCGACTCCCTGAGCTCAACTCGAGGCTGTCTTTGAAGGCCCCAACCTTCATCTCAACTCTCTTCTCTTGACTATAATACAGGAAGATTAGCAATCAGCAGCTTCATAGGAGGGCTTCCAATTTCCCTTCATTACCATGTGCAAAGCATTTCCACATTTGCAAGTTAAAAAGCGAGCAAAGAAGTTGTTTTGAACGGCTTTCACCGTCAGGAGTGAGCTAATGAATCTTCTTGCTTTTTAAGTGCAAGTAGCAACCGAATGAAGTCACTGATTAAAAAAAAATGTCACTTTTTTTTCCTCGTCAAAGGGAAATAAGACTTCTGCAGGCAAGTGGAGCGGTGGTTGGAGTTACCTACCTTAACGTGCTGCATTAACTGCTGTTTCTGCATGTACACCAGCTGACACTGGGGGCACTTAAACACCCCCACCAGCAATTTCTTGGTGTTCTGCTGGAAGTGCTCTTGGAGCAGCCTCTTCTTGTTGAAGACCGTCTCGCAAGAGCATTTGTAGATCAGCCTGGAACGATTTCAAACAAATAAAAAGCCAACTCAAGTCTCTCTTTGGTAGTTATTTTAAGAAGACAGCAGGGAAAAAAGTTATCTTGGCAACTTCAGAAAGGGAATGGGCTTCTGTGGGTCCTGCTGGACAAAGAAGTGACAATTAAGTTCCTTTTACAGCTATTCAGCTCTTTCCTACCCAAAACTCCTCTCCTCCTACCCAGGAGATCATGTTGGGAATGGAGCCTTGCCAGCAGCCAAAGCAGCAGATCTTCTCATAAGATGACGGAACCAAAAACAGAAGAAAAATGGGAGGGAAAGGGGGAATCCTGGAGCCATCCAGTGAAGGAGAAGAGAGAACCCCCAAGTACTCACTGAGTAGGCTTGTGAGGCTCTGCTGGGTGCTGGCTGGTCATGTGAGCTGTGGTGCTCTCGGCCGACTTGAAGGCCATAGGGCAAAAAGAACACTTGTGGAAGACTTCGCAGTGTTTCTCCTGGATGTGCATTTTCAGCATGGCAAGGGTTGTGAAGACAACTCCACAGTGGATGCACCTGGGGAAGGGCACAAAGAAAAGAGCCAGGTTACAGCCCCCAGCATCGCTTCCACACCTCGACTGGTTTCCTCAACAGCAATGTGGAATAGCCGAGGAGGAATGTGAGACAGGAACACACGAGCTGGGACGCTTTTACAGCTAGATGTTAGTGACAAGCAAATAACATCGACTGTATTGGGTTGGCCTGGCCGGATTTTG